AAGGTATATGACTGATGGTGGACTTGGCCTCTATACCCGTCGCCTGAATCGGCTCCCTGATGGGATGGCTGTGGTGCGGGAGACCCTGCAACGAAATACCTCCCTGGGCCTTGGAGATGCTGACAGGTAAGCTTGCTCTACTTGGAGTTTGTTAGATGCAGAGGTGGTTCCACAGTGGCCTGAGAAATGAGGGTCATGATTTGGATGAATGGACGGGGGCTTCTTTAACCCAAGGAGGGTTAGGGAGGTCTTGCAGATGTGCTTGGGGTTAGGTGCTGGCACAGCAGGTACCAGAGGGCTAAGAGAGGGTTCTTGAGTCCTGCTTCTGTGTAGGGTGTTGCTTCTAACAGAAAGAACATGGGGAGTTTGGGCTTGGGTAGTTTTTGTTGTTGTTTTCACTGTTGCTACTGCATCGCTGTCAGTTCAGCAGGCCCCAGGGATCTGCTTTACTTCCTCTCTCATTAGCAGGCTTTCTAGGTATCACACCTTGTGACACACAGAAAGTCTGTGCAGAAGGGAGCTCTCCTGGCCTTTGCTGAGTAGGCTTTACCATAAAGTCTCCTGTTGCCTGGTACTAGGAGGGAATGCTTAAGAATGTAGGTTTATATACCACATGCTGAGTAGTTGACATTATGGGGGTAAATCAGGCTTCATTGACCCCACTGTTGAAGTAGAAAAGAGCTTCAGAAAACACTAGGATAAAGAAAGAGGACTATTTGGACTCCAAGTTTCTAGTCCTTATTCTGACACAAACTGATCCTATGACCTTGAGTAACCTATTAAAGAGGATATTTGGACTATATGATTTCCAAGATCCCTTTCAGCTCTGATGTGCTATGTTTCTAGATTCAGTACAGATGTCAAATACCCTTTAATGATCTGACTGTTCAAGGATTTTCTGGCATACGTGATCTCTTTCCACATCTGGGTTGATAAGACATAACATAGAATTTCGATGCGAGTGGTCTGAAGGTGCTAAGCCTCATGTGTCAGAAGGCCAACTAGTAGCACGCGTACAGCTTCCTGCTGCTCTCTGAGCAGGACATGCTTTCTACAAAGAGCAGGGTGACTTCTGTAGTTCTCTGGTTTCAGAGAAATAGGTCAGCACACAAAAAATCACACCCAGAAATGGAATTTGCTGAAGAGGATCTTCATATTCTCTTGGGGAAGGCTGGGAAGCTTGGGCTGTGTGGAGAGGGTTGCATTCATTGTCAGGAACTTGGGATCTGGCCCAGTCTCTACCACTGACTTGAATATGTTCTCCTTAGAGGCCCCCCAGTGTCCAGGGTGGTGATTTATATCTGGGATGACAAAAAGCTTTTTACTGGAGTTCTAACTCAAATCGTCTTTTTTTCTGTAATTAATAAAGTATTGGTTTCAAAATTCCATAAAAACATGAACAATTTGAGAACTGCTCT